ATTTGGAAAAACATTTTCAATTGCATCTAAAATTCCCTAGAACTAAGGTAATCAAATAATGACTACATAAAAGATATAAATGTAAACAAAGGTAAAAAAAAATGAAGTCAATTACATCTAACCTTATGCTTTTCTAAGATAAATGTCCAGGCATGTGAATAAAAAATGTTCAAGTCGTCTTTCACCAGTTGAAGGAACAAATTCCAAGACTTTTTCTTTTCTTTCTCCACAACAGCAAAGGCAAAAGGGTACATTTGGTTATTGGTGTCAATCCCCACAACTGACAATAAAATACCAGTTTGTCCCCCCTTAAGATGACACTCATTAACACTAATTAAATGATTGCATCCTTTAATCAAACCTCTCTTTAATGCACCAAAACAAATGTATAATCTTTTGAATTTGACTTAATCAACCCCTATAGATTTGGTTTTAATAATACATGTGGTTCCTGGGTTTGTTCTCCTTAGTTCTTCATAATAATCCTAGAGAAGAGCATATTNAAGTTAAACCAAGTTTGTAGAAAAAATAAAAAAATACCTTATGATGTAATTGAACATCAATAATGCTTACAAGTAACTTGACCCTTGGACCTCTATAAATGATAAAAACTTTTGATGCAATTTGACGTTTTTTGACTGATGCCAACTTCTGATACAGCAACTGGTGGTATTGGTGCATGAGATGGGTCACTGTTCTCTGCAGCAGCGGGAGTGTGGCACTTTCTCTAATTATATTCAATCTATCCACATTTACCACATTCCATGGCCTTGTACTTCCTCTTTAATTTAGTTTCATATGGGGGTTCATCATTTTCTCTCCTCTTACCTTTCTTGGGCCTTCCAAGCATTCTATCTATTCATGAGATGACTATAACACTTTAAAAATGTTTCAACAGTGCACCAATCAACAACATTATCCTTTGGCTATAACCCCAAGTAGTTGAGAGTAGAAACTACATGCTTGCATGGAATTCCAATTTAGTCCCACTTCCTACAACTGCAATTTCTATCTTCACATTTACAGTTCTTTTCTCACCATACATCCCCACTACCTCAAATTTGTGTTCTCCATTCCAAGTAGGTATGAAAGATGCAGCCTTCGCTTTAACAAACTCTAATCTCTTTTGTATGTTAGGACATATAGAGCCTCTATAGTTCTTCAAGTAATCTCTTTGCCTGTGTATTTTTTCCAATAGCCACATTCTAATTTTCACAAGCATTGTTATAATAGGCTTGTCCCTAGACTCAACTATGTTGCCATTAAAACTTTCACACAAATTATTTAACAAAATGTCAAACTTAGGAAATGTACTAAAGTGAGACCGAGACTAATTGACTGCTAATTTATCACACAACCACTTGTATGCATCTTCATCAACCCTATGTAATTCATTCATTACTCCTTTAAAATCAACCATGTTTGCAGACTTAGCAGCCCTCCACAACAAATCCTTTAATGCTAAACCCTTATGCTCTGTTTTGAAGTTCGTGAACAAGTGTCTTACACAAAACGTATGCGCAGAATTTGGAAAAACATTTTCAATTGCATCTAAAATTCCCTAGAACTAAGGTAATCAAATAATGACTACATAAAAGATATAAATGTAAACAAAGGTAAAAAAAAATGAAGTCAATTACATCTAACCTTATGCTTTTCTAAGATAAATGTCCAGGCATGTGAATAAAAAATGTTCAAGTCGTCTTTCACCAGTTGAAGGAACAAATTCCAAGACTTTTTCTTTTCTTTCTCCACAACAGCAAAGGCAAAAGGGTACATTTGGTTATTGGTGTCAATCCCCACAACTGACAATAAAATACCAGTTTGTCCCCCCTTAAGATGACACTCATCAACACTAATTAAATGATTGCATCCTTTAATCAAACCTCTCTTTAATGCACCAAAACAAATGTATAATCTTTTGAATTTGACTTGATCAACCCCTATAGATTTGGTTTTAATAATACATATGGTTCCTGGGTTTGTTCTCCTTAGTTCTTCATAATAATCCTAGAGAAGAGCATATTACTCCTTGTTAGTCTCACTGACATATGTTGTTGCTTTAATTTTTCCCCTCTACACCTGACTTCTATGCATTTTCAAAATATTTTCCTTCTCAACTATTTTCTTAAGTGATTTCATTGGCCATGTAGGATTTGATCCAATCCTCTCAACATATGTACTAGCTAGCCACTTAGCATTTGCAGCCTTCACCTTTAAAGATCTATTGCAGCTGTGATTATTAATGTATATTTAAACCTGCATTGTTTTATGCCCTTGAATGCATGACACATAAATCATCCAATCACAACCTGATTTCCATATGACCTTCACCCTATATTTCTCATTTTTGAGAAATTTTATCTGCTTACCCTATTTAATAGAATGTTGTCTAACAGTAGCTCTGAACTCACTTGAGTCTTTAAATAACATATCTAACTTGAATTGTGGATCACCCGTATCATTCTTGGCATTAAACACTCGGTATATCACCCTATTTTCATCTTCCTTTGATGATGAGTTTGGAATTGTAAAACTCGGATAAATTTGAATTTTTGTGAAAAAGGGTAAAATGGTAATTTATCATTACGGTACGAGTTGAAAACCTGAATTTTTCTAGAATTCAGATAACTAAATGGACCTACCCGTTGAATTCGTCTCGTGAAATCTAGTTATCCAGTCAATTTTTGTTGAATTTTGAGACAATCAAATTTTCACGTTTTACGAGATAATTAAGTATCGCATGACCTAAAAATGAAATAAATTTTAAAAAATAATTTAAAAGAATTTCATATAAAAATATTTTGAACTTGAACCGAGATGAAATTTAATCGTTTTGAGACGAAGTTGGACCCAGGAATAAAGAACGTGTGGCACAATGAGGACCAAACATTTAAAAGGTATAAATTGGGGGAGAAAACTCAGATTTCTCCCCATACTCATAAGATTATCCAAAAAATCAAAATATAGGTACAACTCAAGCCAAGAACAAAAATTGTTCTCTCAGTTGAGGGCTACAAAACCATACCAAAAAAGTTGGATTTTGGTGAAATTACAAGAACAAGATTTTGGAGAAAGTTTGGAGTAGAGCTTGTTTTGGGTTCTTGGACCTTCTTACCATTGTTTTACACTTCAAGAGGTATGGTTCTTTTCCTAATTAGGTTTATTATCAACCTAGGGCTCTATATTATATGAGTAGCATGACTTGAGATAAATTCTCTTATTTAATGTACTCCTAGTGTAAATAAAGTGCGAGAAATAGGTATAGAAATATGCTAAACCAATCTTAAATGAATTGGGTCTGTAGAATTTACTTGTTTCATAAATTCATGAAAAGTATAGGTACTTGAAATGTGAAAAATGGGTATTAAGAATGATTAAAATCATTTCTAGCATGAATTGAGTACGTAAAAATTACTTGTTGTGATTTCTTGATAAATGTGATTATTTGGACATAATATGTGTTAAATAATTTTATGACTTGAAGGTGTTTGATAAAATGTCTATTTGGATTAAGTGTGTTATTTGCATTTGTTATATTATAACATGCTTGGAATATATATGGAAAGAGTAGAGTGTTAGAGATGTAATCTCATGTTTAGCACTTACCTATGGTACTTGAAATGTGAGAAATGGATATTAAGAATGGTTAAAATCAATTCTAACATGAATTGAGTATGTATAAATTATTTGTTGTGATTTCTTGAGATATGTGATGAAATTGGGCATATTATGTATTTACATGATTTGGTGCCTTGAAAGTGTTTGATTAAATGTCTATGTCGATTAAGTGTGTTATTTGCATTGATTATGTTATAATATACTTGAAATTTGATGTTGAAAAATGTTAATATATGTATATGATATATTGACATTGAAGTTGTTAATAGTGGTTATATGCTTATAATGTAATTTATCATGAAAAATGTTGATTGGATATTTAAATTGTTCATAATATGCTCATGACATATTGAACATGGTATTGTAATTACAATTGAGATTCTAGTTGCATAATGATATGAAATGCAATTGTACATTTATATTACATATGCACGGGTAACATCATATTCATAGGCATTTGACATGATTGTGGGTGTGTATGCATAATTTGATCAAATACCATTCTTGGTGAATGATACATGAGCTCAGGATAGTTGGATTGAGGTTTAATTGAATTGTACGGTTTGCATTGAAAATAGGGTCGCGGTTAGCAAGAAGGGTTAGATTCTCCCTTAGGTACAAAACCCAGTGATTCGGATACGCACTCCATTAGTATTGAGTCCATAAAGTGTGTCGGTGTACGCGGAGCCGTTGATAGAAGTCCATTAATGCCATGTCGGTTGGGTGCCCGTTAGTGTAAGTTAATAAATACTCACCCCATGAAAGACCCGTAATTTAAAAAGGTCATTGCATGTGTAACATCAATGGCGGAGGTTTGGAATGCTCAAATTCATATACATGACATTGCATGTGTTGAGGGAGCCGGTAAAGGCTCAGGTTAAGTTTCATGTGTGAGTCTCATCTCATATCATGATATAACATTGAGGATTCCATTGTTGAATTGCATATTCTGGAATGGAGTGATTGTTGCTTGTGAATTGCATGTGAGCATTTCATATGCATCTAGGTTGGGGAGTAGTCTCTTTAGGAGATACCCGATTGAGCATAGCTCACCCTTTATGCGGTTAATATTTCTGGTGCAGGACATGCGCCGGTAGACGACTCTAATTCAGGCCCTTGTTGATGAAGAAAAGCCGAAAAGTGGCTTTTAAACTATGTTTTAAGATGTCAATTAGTTTTTGGGCATGTAATGTATGTAAAAGATTGTAATCGTATTCATATGAACTATTTTTAATGTAAAATTGCATGTTGTTATATGAGTATGAATAAATAGACCTGGTGTGATCAATGTTGTATGATTGCACAAGTTATGTTTTGGGTAAAGGTTTTCGTACAAAGGAGACTCTAACCGAATTTTGTTAAGTTAGCGTGATATCGACTTATATGGTATCCACGGGTATTCCACGAATTGATGGGTGATTAACGAGGTAATTACGGACACCCAGATTTTTGGGCGTCATAGGAATACCTCTTAGTTCATCTGAATCACAATCTTCACTAATATTCTCTTCAGCAGTACTCATTGTTGTTGTATTATCTTTCTCAACCCATTTCCTTTTGTTTCTTCCAGTGCCATTACCAACCACTTCCCTTTTTTCTATTTCATTCCTTAGTCTCACATCTTCATCAACCATTGTATCATGCAGTTGTACTCCATCCAAATCATACTCATTGTCATCGAAGTACTCATCATCTAAAGTCGAGTTGTCTAAGTGTTCCTCATATTGTGATGACTCACTGTCCAATGCATTATCAGAAGCCACAACACTACCACCCACATTATTTCCCCCATCAAACTTTTGTGCAATAGGAATACAATTTGACTGTGCCTGGCTCTGATCAAGGACTTCTCCTTTGGTGTGTTCAACATATNAGTACTCATCATCTAAAGTCGAGTTGTCTAAGTGTTCCTCATATTGTGATGACTCACTGTCCAATGCATTATCAGAAGCCACAACACTACCACCCACATTATTTCCCCCATCAAACTTTTGTGCAGTATGAATACAATTTGACTGTGTCTGGCTCTGATCAAGGACTTCTCCTTTGGTGTGTTCAACATAGACATTAAGCACTTTGTGCTAGTTGACCCAACTGCCCAAACCCAAAACATCCTCATCTTTATCTAAAATTTTCCATCCATTAGGAATTCTAAGATGAAATCTGACAATCCCACAGTACCCCAATCCCATTGTTTTCAACATATTCTCCAGTTCTATCAAAGAAAGCAGGTCTATGTGACACAAATCAAGGTAATTCACCCTCCCTTCAACGTACACTCGATCATTCCCATTTTGGAATTGGCCACCATGATGCATTATGATTGTGAAAAAACCATCCCCATTGTTTGTAGCCAAATCCAAACAAAAAGACTACATTCACAATTAAAAAATGAAAAATCCAAACAAAAAGACAACATTCACATTTAAAAGTCTGCCCCCACAAACAAAACAACCCAGTTGTTTATTACCCCAGTGATATATACAACCAACTTCACTCACGTGAATCAGGTAAAAACAAAACAAAAATAATATAATACAAAGCATAAACCCATTTCTAAATAATATAATACAAAAAACATACACTCAAATCTGAATAAAAACTTTTTACCATAAACACTCACACTGCACAATATATCTCTCACCATAATTCGGTGCTTCTTGTCTGTATTTCTCTTCCCTTACCACCCAAGACATTTTTCAATTTTCAAGCTTCAACTCACAACCTTCAACCAAAGCAGCAATAGAGGCCTTCTGAAAGTACATAATGGGTTTTGATTCGCCGAAGGATTTTGAGTAGCCTAAGTGTTTCAATTTGGAAAAATTGGGTTTGTGGTGTTTTTACATTATTGCCCTTTAGGTTAACATGTACATCTCACGACATAGCTTGGATTAACAGCAAGTTTGACATCCATCAGTCTTGGGGCCACATTATCACCAAATATTAACATTGAGGGTGTAATTTGGAACAATCAATCTTTCATGGTGTAAACTAAAATTTTTGCAATCTTTCAGGTGGCAAAGTGCCATTTGCCCTAATAAATTTGATAAAATAAAAAAAAGAAAAAAAAATCTAGCCATTTATTAAACTACATTGTCGGAGCTTCGTCAGAGTAGATGAACCCATCGACTGATGTTAATGGCTTTAAGCTTCATCGTATGTTGGCTGCATAGTGACCAAAGGAGAAAAAGATAGCGACCAAAGGAGAGAAAGACAGTACAGACTGGTACAAGAACCTAAAAGGTGTAGTGGGGGAATGGGATAATGAGATTATCTAAAGGAACTTGTTGGAGTGATATCCTTTTGCCGGAGAAGACCAGATCTGAACCTTGCCAGAGGGCTCTCAGTCGCCAGAGAAGATGCAGAAGATGATCTCGTCTGAGCTCTCCGATTGTTGGAGAGATGAAGAAGACGTCTGGTTTCACTGAAGTAGAGAGAGAAAGTCCGAAAGGGAGAGACAAGCCAAAAAAAAAAAAAACCTTTTATACTATGACAAGTTTTGCTGCTAAGGAGGTTTGAAGGAGAGGCCTCATTAAAGAATTTAGGGTTGTTTCCCTTTATTTTTCTATCTTGGCTTGAAAACTCAAAAAACAACTAAATGATGTACTCTAGTTTTTGTTCTTAATTCCCACTTTTTTTGAAAAATTATTTTTAAAAATTGTTATTCAAATAACATCTCAAGAGTTTACTATTTTTTAGAACATAAAACTATTTTAGAGACACAAACCAAACAGTCCCATAGTTTTGAATAATTTTTACGTTAAAGTTTTTTTGCTTGNCTTTTTTTTTAGCATCAATACAAACATTGGTATCTACTTATTTTACTTTGTATCTGTCTCAATATTAGTTTTCCTTGTCATCCCTGATTGTGTTATATTGTGCTTTGTTTTTCTTGTCTTATTTGATGCATAAATGCTGGTTTTGTTGGATATGTTTGCTGTAAATTCACATCTTATGCTTCTATTGGTGAGTGTGCTCGTGCTGACAAACGGTTTCAGTGCTGGAGTTATTGAGTCATTTATCTTTTAGTGTGTCATATGTTCTCTTTCAGTTTTAATTTGGTGTTTTTTACCACATCTTTAGTTTGGATGTCTTTGTGAGTTTTAGGACTATGGAAACAATGTGAAAGGGTTTTAAATTCTGCAGAAATACCTTTTGTTACGTTGTTCTTTCTTTTTTTTATGGCAGTGTGATAAATAGGTTAACGGTATGATTAAGGGATTTTGTCTGCATTACACAGTTTACGTGGCGTCTGTTGAAAAAGGCTTCACAAGTTATTTATTTACACTTCGCGTTGAAGAAACGTGCAATAATTGAGGAATTTCATGAGAAACAAGAGCAGGTTTGCTTTTAGTTTGTGACTCTTCCTCGCCCTTATTGGTTTTTTTTTCCCTCTGAATTCTTGACTGTGGATCTGTATTTTTACACGTATGTTTGCAAAATCCTTGACTTTGAAATATAATCTTTTGGCATCCCCATCAATTTTTTTGTCCACTTTCGGAATTAGTTTTATTTTTTATGAACTTCCATGAAAGGCGAAAGAATGGCTTCAAAACATAGGAATTGGAGATCAGACAGCAGTGGTGCGTGATGATGATGAACCTGATGATGGAGCTGTTCTATTGTATAGTGAAGAGAGTGCTAAAAACAGGTGATTATTACTGCTGTATTGTATGTTCAATGATGCTTAGCCTCAAGGCCCTCAACATATTCTTTTCCATCTTGATTGATAGTGTTCTAAAGAAACGGTTGGTTATGCAGATATGTTCCATCCAGAGCTGCTTTACCAATCATTCGCCCAGCACTAGGTAGGCAGCAGACCATTTCGGACAAAGCAAAAGCTGCAATGCAAGGGTATCTCAATCACTTTCTGGGAAACATGGATATTGTAAATTCCCAAGAGGTGCATACATTATTCTTTGCATTTGACACCTTGTTTATATTGCTTTTATGAGAGAAAGCAAATGAAATTCACATCCATATAGAATTGTTACTTTCATTACTTGTCTTTGTTTTCAGAATTTGTGATGGGAAGCATTATTTCAACCATAGTGGTCGAGTTTTTTAATGTCACCTAAAATGTTGTTTAAACTAGCTCTGTACGTGTAGAAATGTCTTGTTGTAACCCGTATCTGTTCATACCAGTAAAAGAAATGAGGTATACTTTCAGGTCATTTCAGCACTGTTTTGCTCCTAAGTCCCTAATTAGCTGATGTTCAAAGTTGGAGCATTTCTACTTGTAGCATAATTAGTCATGTCTGCTCATGGTGCTGGTCTTATTTGCCAGAAATCTATTCAGGAATAACTTGCATGCATTGAGAGCTAGATAATCATTGGTAGCCATAATCTTGTGATATTTGTAAGCTCTAATCGAATCGTGCTAATTTTTTTGCGTGTGCTACACATGGTAAAACACAGATAGATGCATGTGTGCATCCAATGCACTAACCAGACCATCGAATTGAAGGAGATGTCATGACGGCTATTTGAGAATAGAAAATTAAAAACCTCTGTACCAAACAGAGCTCTAAAATTGTGCTAATTTAATTGTGCCCCCAGTATGATAATTATGGACTATCTAGAAGTAAGTATGAACTTCATCTCTGCATATAATTCTCTGTTTGCCCCCGCCTCTTTTTTTCTTCTTTGCAATTTGGGTCTGTGGATCACAGCTTCCATACACAACAGTGTAATCCTATCACAACATATCGGAAACTAAAATCCTAGCTAGTTCCTTGGGAACGGGAATCCTAGAGTTTTGTTTTCTCTTTTATCCCAGCGGAAATTGCTTAACTGGACGTGTTGGTTTCGTTTTCTCTTTTTCGTCTTCTCTCTCTCTCTTTTTTTTTTTGGAATCGAATTCTTTTTGAAAACAATGTAACAACATAAAAATCAATGTGACAAGTTAACAACATATTAAATAATGCGACAAGTTACTCAAAAATAATGTGACAACATATTAAAAAAATGTGGCAAGGTATTTAAAAATAATGTAACAACATATTAAACAATATGACATTTTACTCAAAAATAATGTAATGACATAAAAAATAATGTGAGAAGTTTCTCAAAAATAATGTGACAACATATTAAAAAAATATGAGAACATATTAAAAAAATGTGACAAGTTACTTAAATTTGTTATTTAAAGATTATAAAATTTAACAGCATAAAATCTTGAAAATCATGAATCTGAAAATAATAGAGCCAAAAATATTGTTTTGATTCAGAAATTGGAATGGGCGAAATCAATGGCGTGATAGACTATTTCGGTAATGCTAGTGAAGGAACTATTCTGGTGATCGAAGCTTCAAACTGAAAGTTCTTCAAGATGAATATGCAATCTNGTTTTAAATTCTGCAGAAATACCTTTTGTTACGTTGTTCTTTCTTTTTTTTATGGCAGTGTGATAAATAGGTTAACGGTATGATTAAGGGATTTTGTCTGCATTACACAGTTTACGTGGCGTCTGTTGAAAAAGGCTTCACAAGTTATTTATTTACACTTCGCGTTGAAGAAACGTGCAATAATTGAGGAATTTCATGAGAAACAAGAGCAGGTTTGCTTTTAGTTTGTGACTCTTCCTCGCCCTTATTGGTTTCTTTTTCCCTCTGAATTCTTGACTGTGGATCTGTATTTTTACACGTATGTTTGCAAAATCCTTGACTTTGAAATATAATCTTTTGGCATCCCCATCAATTTTTTTGTCCACTTTCGGAATTAGTTTTATTTTTTATGAACTTCCATGAAAGGCGAAAGAATGGCTTCAAAACATAGGAATTGGAGATCAGACAGCAGTGGTGCGTGATGATGATGAACCTGATGATGGAGCTGTTCTATTGTATAGTGAAGAGAGTGCTAAAAACAGGTGATTATTACTGCTGTATTGTATGTTCAATGATGCTTAGCCTCAAGGCCCTCAACATATTCTTTTCCATCTTGATTGATAGTGTTCTAAAGAAACGGTTGGTTATGCAGATATGTTCCATCCAGAGCTGCTTTACCAATCATTCGCCCAGCACTAGGTAGGCAGCAGACCATTTCGGACAAAGCAAAAGCTGCAATGCAAGGGTATCTCAATCACTTTCTGGGAAACATGGATATTGTAAATTCCCAAGAGGTGCATACATTATTCTTTGCATTTGACACCTTGTTTATATTGCTTTTATGAGAGAAAGCAAATGAAATTCACATCCATATAGAATTGTTACTTTCATTACTTGTCTTTGTTTTCAGAATTTGTGATGGGAAGCATTATTTCAACCATAGTGGTCGAGTTTTTTAATGTCACCTAAAATGTTGTTTAAACTAGCTCTGTACGTGTAGAAATGTCTTGTTGTAACCCGTATCTGTTCATACCAGTAAAAGAAATGAGGTATACTTTCAGGTCATTTCAGCACTGTTTTGCTCCTAAGTCCCTAATTAGCTGATGTTCAAAGTTGGAGCATTTCTACTTGTAGCATAATTAGTCATGTCTGCTCATGGTGCTGGTCTTATTTGCCAGAAATCTATTCAGGAATAACTTGCATGCATTGAGAGCTAGATAATCATTGGTAGCCATAATCTTGTGATATTTGTAAGCTCTAATCGAATCGTGCTAATTTTTTTGCGTGTGCTACACATGGTAAAACACAGATAGATGCATGTGTGCATCCAATGCACTAACCAGACCATCGAATTGAAGGAGATGTCATGACGGCTATTTGAGAATAGAAAATTAAAAACCTCTGTACCAAACAGAGCTCTAAAATTGTGCTAATTTAATTGTGCCCCCAGTATGATAATTATGGACTATCTAGAAGTAAGTATGAACTTCATCTCTGCATATAATTCTCTGTTTGCCCCCGCCTCTTTTTTTCTTCTTTGCAATTTGGGTCTGTGGATCACAGCTTCCATACACAACAGTGTAATCCTATCACAACATATCGGAAACTAAAATCCTAGCTAGTTCCTTGGGAACGGGAATCCTAGAGTTTTGTTTTCTCTTTTATCCCAGCGGAAATTGCTTAACTGGACGTGTTGGTTTCGTTTTCTCTTTTTCGTCTTCTCTCTCTCTCTTTTTTTTTTTGGAATCGAATTCTTTTTGAAAACAATGTAACAACATAAAAATCAATGTGACAAGTTAACAACATATTAAATAATGCGACAAGTTACTCAAAAATAATGTGACAACATATTAAAAAAATGTGGCAAGGTATTTAAAAATAATGTAACAACATATTAAACAATATGACATTTTACTCAAAAATAATGTAATGACATAAAAAATAATGTGAGAAGTTTCTCAAAAATAATGTGACAACATATTAAAAAAATATGAGAACATATTAAAAAAATGTGACAAGTTACTTAAATTTGTTATTTAAAGATTATAAAATTTAACAGCATAAAATCTTGAAAATCATGAATCTGAAAATAATAGAACCAAAAATATTGTTTTGATTCAGAAATTGAAATGGGCGAAATCAATGGCGTGATAGACTATTTCGGTAATGCTAGTGAAGGAACTATTCTGGTGATCGAAGCTTCAAACTGAAAGTTCTTCAAGATGAATATGCAATCTCCTCTACAATGTCAGATTTTTCACAATGACGAAGTTAATGATTTTGGAAAAAAAATGGAATAGCAAAAATAATTGGATTGTTTCTTCGAAATTCAAAGCAACTAATAAATGTGAAAATACATTTAGAGTTGTAATTGGAGTTCGTTTTCTGAGGGATATTGGTCACGATTGTTGGCGTTGATTCAAGAATCCTGAGAGACTGGTGTTTTTGGTTTCCTCGGTAAGGAAATAGACGTTTTGGTTTCCTCGGTAAGGAATGACTTACTACAAGGATGTCATTCCTAAATATATATCTATATATTCTAACAATATTGTTAGAAGATTTGATATTCAAGCAAGTTATGTTGAAGAAAAGAACTTTAGGACATTAATTTGCAATTTTTTCATCTAGCCACCAATATGCAGAGACCAAATATTAGAATATGCTAAGTATTCTACATTGTTAGCACTGAGAGTATGAACATTGATAATGTGGAATATCAAACTAACAGATGTTGTTGAAAGTTGATACTCGTATATACATATTGCAGACATTGGACACCCAATTTATTGTTGAGTATGCTTCTTGAGCCATCATCGAGATTTTATCAGTAGTATCACTAGCTACTACAATTCAATAATCAGTCTTTATTTCCAGTACCCATTCGATCTTATTAGCCTAAGTTTGGGCTAGAGATATTGTCGGTTTCTCAATCTGTTCCTTCGTGCCCATAAATTCAAGCTATGGACTAAAAGTAATTGTTCACTAAAATAAAGAATTTTGATTGGCCAATAGTGTTGCTAAGAAATTGAAAACAAGGAGAAAGTTTGGGCTCTACTATTAATCTTTGCAAGTAAAAAGTTGGTTATGATAAATAATGTTAAGTAACAAATTCAATTGTAAACCTTAAGTTTGAACTTAATTATGGGGATAAAATAAAACCCACACTGCACTTATGACCGTAATTACTTTGACAAAAAGTCATCTATAACTTTAAAATTTTTAAATAATTTGCAAAACAAACAACAAATTTGTTTGACTACTCTTCCAATATGTTTACTTTTTCCCAACTAAAAGCTAATTCTTGATCAATCTCACGAGTTCCGTGTGCCGCACTCTAATATTTTTAACTTTCTTCAAGGTTTTGCGCTTTACTCCAATTTTTCATATCCTTTTATATGCAATCACAAAAATTTTATTTTGTTGTTTGCATACTATAGACTATAAGCTTATATGGTCAAGTTTATAGGTCCTCTCCTAATAGGACAACTCTTATGTAGTAAATAATCATTTCTCTAAAGGCATTGATCACTAATGGGTCACTTCCATTAGTTTTGGGTTGGATGCTCTAACATGGTATCAGAACTAGGCCTTCGATACTTAGTGGACTTAGTCTCTCACCCAGTTGAATTCTCTGGTGTGTTTACCAATCTTGTTTGATTCGACTTTAGTCTATGATTTGTTAGCCCACGTGCGAGTTCCGGTTCAAATGTGAGAGAGTGTAAAGAAAGCTATCCCCTATCAAAAAATTAAAATACACCCAATGCATTTATATACTTGAGAGACCAATGCACTTGAGAGGCCACTACAGTTATTGCCAATTGGTTTTAGGTTGGATGCTCCGAGTCTCTGACACTGACAATTAAGAAGATATCGAAAGAGTGGAGGAAGAGTATTATGGCACCTCTGTGTAAAAATAAAAGGGATATTCAAAGTTAAAAAAATTAAGGTACTAAAAAGAGTAATGTAATGAAACTTTAGGAGGGAATGGTTGGTCNACTTATTTCTGTACTAGTGCGGAAGAAGGGTTTAATACACAGCAGTAGTAATGCGAGAGGTAGGGATGGGTTGAAATTAACTCTAAACAAGGTGGTACAAACAAATATGATAGCTAATGGTTTAATGGAAATATGGCGTTGATAGAATAGTATGGAGAAGCATGATTCATGTATCCAACTCCAAATAGTTGGGATATAGGCTTTGGTGGGTTGGGTTGAGTTAAGTTTGGATATTCACAAAATCTTAACGTTCCTGAAAAGCTCCTTTATTATTTGCAGAATTCCTGATTACTCTGACAACATATAAATGACCATAGTCTCCCTTTTCTGCTATGAAAAGAGAGTTATAAACCCCTCCTCCGCACAAAGAAAAAAAGCAAACCTCTCAAACGTTGGGTGTTCCCTCAAACTATTGTCTCAGTTTTACTGATCACTCTAGAGTAGGTATATTAGAAGCTAGTTTATTTCCTGTTACTAAATCTGTAATGCTGCACTTGATTTGTAGTTTTTTCAAATGAAGTGAAGTTTGACCATCCTCTGTTCTCAGTTTCTTGCTTGATACTTCTGAAACCTATTTCGTTTTTTTTTTTTGTAGTGCCGACGTTATGTTAAAGTTCTAAATATTAAGACAAGTGCTCAATTCATTTTGACCTTTAGGTTTGCAAGTTTTTGGAGGTGTCTAAGTTATCATTTTCACAAGAGTATGGCCCAAAGTTGAAAGAGGGTTATGTAATGGTGAAGCATCTGGCAAAAATTCCAAGGGATAACGCAGACACAAGATGTTGTATGTGTTGTTGGTCTGGCTGTTGTAATAATAATTGGCAAAAGGTAAGTCTTCTTCATGCAATTCAGGCTTGTTATCTTGCTTGGATAAAAAGGCAGATGCATAGAAATGTGCATGTGAGATATTTATACCTGCAGGCATGCACATTGCTTTTCTTTTCTTCCACAAAGCATAATTACCGATGGTAGATACTCTACTAAATTGAAATGCTGCCAACTGAAAAGTATATAGCACATCATCTTAAGTGATCACTAAAAGCAGATGCATGGAAATGTGCATGTGAGATATTTATACCTACAGGAATGCACATGGCTTTTCTTTTCTTCCACAAAGCATAATTACTGATGGTAGATACTCTACTAAATTGAAATGCTGCCAACTGAAAAGTATGTAGTGTTAGAGTATTAATACTAAGGGTAGTTTAGGCATTTTCTTTATGTTGTGTTGCCCTACTATATAAGACCTACTTTGTGTATTTCTAGGTTAATAATGTGTATTACAGACTTGCTTTTAGTCAAATATATTTTCTCTTTCTCTTCTCTATGATCAATTTTATCATTGTATCAGAGCATGTTAAGATCCAAATATGATTAACAATACAATGGCTTCATCATAAGCAAAGTGGAGGAGGAGGAGAGGGTTCGGAATTGCCACGGCGAAGAGTTTCGATCAGATTTTCTGATCAGATTTTCTGCAAATCTGATCAGATTTTCTGCCTTGGTGACTTCTTGTGAGCAGATTTTCTGCCGAACATGAAACCATACCAGCAGGAAACGGCTGTGCGCGTGTTCTTCTCCTCTGCTCGATGTCTTCTGCTATTGCTGGGTTGGTGAATCTTTCTGCCTTGGTGACTTCTTGCGAGCAGATTTTCTGCCGAACATGAAACCATACCAGCAGGAGACGGCTGTGTGCGTGCTCTTCTCTTCTTCTCTTCCTTCTGCCTCCTTGTTTCTATCGTTGGTAACCATTGCAGGTCTATTGCTTCTTGGTTAGGTTAGTATATAATTTTGGACTATTGGTCTATTTGTTTTTTGGATTGTTTAATTCTTGGAATACTTTTGGCTTGCTGGGTTTTGCTTTGTTGGCTTGCTGGGTTTTGGCTTGCTGGGTTTTCTAGCTAGATTGGGTTTTGATTGTTTTGCCTTGTTGACTTGCTGGTGGTTTGACTTGTTGACTTTGGGTTGTTGCTGGAATTTACTTGAGTGTATTCTTGCAAATTATTAGTGCCCGTTCTTTGTTGACTTATGGCAAGTGGAAATTCTGATTCGCTTTTGGCAATTAGTGTGAGATTAATAGGTGGAAATTATGTTTATTGGGCTTATGTTATGAAAAAAATTTTATGGAATTATATTAGTGGTGTTGCACAGGCTCCAACTGATACCAAAGTAGAAAATTATGCTGCCTTGAAGAGTACTTGGGATATCAACAATGCAAAAATTATCACTTGAATTAATAACTCAGTTGATCAGACCATTGGGGTTCATCTATCCAAGTTTAGCACAACTAAGGAAATTTGGGACTATTTGGCCATACTTTTTGTTCAGTCAAATTGTGCAAAGAAGTATCAATTAGAGCATGAGATTTGAGATGCNCTAAGAAAATTTGGGACTATTTGGCCACACTTTTTGTTCAGTCAAATTTTGCAAAAAGGTATCAGTTAGAGCATGAGATTTGAGATGTGCGCCAAGGGGACAAAAACATACAAGAATTCTACTCAGTTATGATTGGCTTCTGGGATCAGCTAGCACTTACTGAACCCACTGAGTTGAGCACTAATCTGACATATCACACTTTCAGAGAGGAACAGAGGCTGATGCAATTCTTGATGGCCCTTAGAGATGACTTTGAGGGACTTCGTGGTTCTATTCTTCATCGTCACCCACTCCCCTCAGTGGATGCAGTTGTTAACGAGCTCTTAGCTGAAGAGGTTAGCCTTAAAACCTTTTCTGGAAAGGGTCTTCTTCCATTGCCAAATCAGACTATATTGGCTGTTCCCTTCAAAGTGACCTCTAATTCTCAAAACAAATATCGAGGTCGAGTTGCTTCTGATGAGTTTAGCTTCTGTCGTGAAAAAGGCCACTAGAAGGCTCAATGTCCAAAGTTGATGAACAAGAATGCACGAAGGTCTCAAAATCAGTCATTTAAGTCTAGAGATTGTCATACAGCGGCCGTAGCACCACCAATGGATGAGTCAACCTCATCAGCTCCCAACCTGACTATGCTTACAGATCAGCTACAAAAGTTTCTCTCTCTTCATCAGTCTGGTGCTCTCACAATTTCTCCCACTTTAGGTTCATTCAGCTCAGGTCCTTCAGGTATATCTCGAACCGCCTGGATTTTTGACTCAAGTGCCACACATCATATGACCAGTGACTCTTCTTTGTTTGCATCTATTGTTTCTCCTCCATCTTTATCTGTCCTTGCTGCCAATAGTTCTCAAATGTCATTAGTTGGTGTTGGAACAATTATTTCTTCCAACCTTATCCTTTCAGATGCCTATTATATTCCTCAACTTGCTTTAAATTTACTTTCAGTCAGTCAACTATTTGATTTTGGATTTTTGGTTTATTTCTCTTCCTCTGGTTGTGTTGTGTAGGATCCACGGTCCAAGAAGCTGATTGGGATAGGCTGTAGAAAGGGTGGGTTATATGTGTTGGAGGAGCTTTATGTCTCAAATGTTGTTGCTACTGCTTTTACTGTTGATTTATCTTCATTTCGTTTGAGTCTAGAGTCATCTAGTTTTTATTTATGACATTCTCGTCTTGGTCATGTTTCTTATTCTCGTTTAAAATTTTTAGCTTCGACTGGTAGTTTAGCAAGCCATGACATTTCTGATTGTAGTGGATTCAAGTTGGCTAAATTTAGTGCATTGTCATTCAATAAAAGTGTTACTTGTTCTCATGTATTATTTGATCTCGTTCACTCTGATATATGGGGATCGGCTCCTATTCCTACACAAAGAGGGTCCAAATATTATGTTTTATTTATTGATGATTACACGAGATATTGTTGGGTATTCTTGATGAAACATCGGTCTGAATTCTTTTTCATCTTTACTACATTTCGTAACATGGTATGCACTCAATATTTCGCAGTCATTAAATGTTTTCGGTGTGATCAGGAAGGTGAATATACTCTTACTTCTTTTCATGATTTGTTGAAATCTGATGGTCTATATTATCAATCCTCTTGCACTGACACACCTGAGCAGAATGGTGTTGCCGAACGAAAACACCGTTATATTTTAGAGATAGCACGTTCTCTTCTTTTATTAGCACATGTTCCCAGCTCATTTTGGGGGGAAGCAATTTTGACAGCAGTTCATTTGATCAACACCATTCCTACTATTCTCACCTCTAGAATCTCTCCTGTTGAAAAGTTATGTGGTAAGCCACCTAACTATTTTTCTTTACGTGTATTTGGTTGTACCTATTTTGTTTTGCTCCCTAGTGTTCTTCGTACCAAACTTTCTGCCCGTTCAACTTTATGTGTATTTATAGGTTATGGTGAGGGTCAAAAAGGGTATCGTTGCTATGATCCCATCACCCACAAACTTTATGTCTCTCGTCATGTTATTTTTATCTAGTTTTTCCTCATTAAATAAGTCTGACTTGCTATATATTGATCCCTTTCCTACTAATGTTCCTCATGACACATATGTTAGTGATATATCTGTATCAGATTCTTCATCTTCTGAGCCGACTATTACTTGTCCCCCTATTGTGTATACATATGTTCGCAGGACTCTAGTTATCTCCTCTCTGGATGCAGTGCCTCCCCTTTCTCCTCCGGCCGCCCAATCAGGTTCAGACACTGTGGATCATACACCACGTTATCCTCGGCGCTCTCGCAAATGTTCAGACAGATTTGGTTGGAGTAGTACTTGTTATTCTTCTGACTTTTATTCTTTTCTTACTTCTATTCATTCTCTATCTGAACCTACCTCCTACAAGGNCAGACAGATTTGGTTGGAGTAATACTTGTTATTCTTCTGACTTTTATTCTTTTCTTACTTCTATTCATTCTCTATCTGAACCTACCTCCTACAAGGAGGCTTTAATTGATCCACTTTGGAAATAGGCTATGGATGAGGAGTTGTCTGTCTTACATAAGGCCAGAGCCTGGGAGCTAGTGCCTTTACCGCCTGGTAAATGCACCATTGATTGTAAGTGGGTTTATAAGATAAAAACCAAGTCGGATGGTTCTGTGAAACGATATAAAGCTCGATTAGTAGTCAAGGGGTTTGCTCAGGAATATGGTCTAGATTATAATGAGACTTTTGCTCCTATTGCCAAGATGACTACTGTTCGCACCGTGATTGTAATTGCTACCATTCGAAAATGGAGTTTGTCTCAAATGGATGTGAAAAATGCATTTCTACATGGAGATTTAACTGAAGAGGTTTTTATGACATTTCAGTATCATCTCCTACTCCTATGTTCTGCAACAACACTAGTGTTATTCAGATTACTCATAACTCGGTCTTCCATGAGCGCACAAAACACATTGAGATTGATTGTCACTTTGTGCGTCATAATCCGCAGCAGGGCACCATCACTCTCCCCTTTCTTCCTTCCACAATGCAGATAACATATTTTTTTACGAAGTCTCATACCATAGCACGTTTTAGATTTCTTCTTGGCAAACTTTTGATGTTTTTTACCACATCATGAGTTTGAGAGGGGGTGTTAGAGTATTAATACTAAGGGTAGTTTAGGCATTTTCTTTATGTTGTGTTGCCCTACTATGTAAAACTTACTTTGTGTATTCTAGGTTAATAATTTGTATTACAGACTTACTTTTAGTCAAATATATTCTCTCTTTCTCTTCTCTATAATCAATTTTATCATATAGCACATCATCTTAAGTGATGACTTGGATTTAAAATTAGCCCATCAACTTGAGCACCTTTTACCTACCTCAACATTCTCATTTTCAAACTACCTTCCATATATTGTGATATTTTGACATACAACCCATTTAATTCTGTGAGGTTTTCATGTTTTTAGTTTTAATACACTAATTGTGATGTGTTTCAACTTGCAATGTCCTCCTAATCACTTCCTTAAAGGATGTCATTTTGACATTCTGTCAGCGAGATCTCTACACAATATAACAAACTGATGAACTACTAGAAAAATGATTTTGGCCTCACTAAATGTGTAGAAGCACAGAATTCAGTTATAAGTCTTTTGCACTGAATAAATTTTAGACTCAATGATAATTTTTCCAAAAGGCACAAGTTTGAGCAGAAAACCAAGATGCACCAGCAAAGAATTTGACATCTGCATAAGATTTGATCGAGAAACATGTTTTTTGCTTAAAAGTGTGAGAGTAATATGGAGAAACAAATTCTGCCATGAAGGGAGGAAGTTTTCACATTAAATTAAGTGCTATGAATCATCATTAATTTTTTTTCTCATCTATTGTATTCCAAGTAAATGTGACAAAATTTCTATTTTTGTCACGTGTCTGCTTGTCTTTTTCGATGGGATGATGCTCTAAATATTTTATGGATACAACACATGTTCGTTTCTGACTACTAAACCCATGTTCAGTGTATCAATCATCATTTTTTAATTTAGATTATGTAAATTGAAGTGTGAGCTCTTTGTTGGTACACTTGACTAGCAACAAATACACCTCTTTTTCATGAGCATAATCCAATGACAATGCTCTTCGAGTGTAAGATTTCTAGCATTCACTATTGATGGGCATGCAACACACACATCATTGAAATCTATTCCATAGTTTTTGCTTGTCATCCTTGATTAGTGAGGATACTTTAGTTTGTTTTAAAGATTATTAGTTAGGATGTTAGAGGGTCGGGCTCTAGCAGGAAGAGCCTTCGATTAAATAGTTTCTTTTGAGATATGGGCCAAATATCGTTTTGTTGCAAAAGACTAAATTGGAAGTAATTGATAGGAGAATTATTAATAGAGTGTGGGATTTGAGGTATA